CCTGCAGGATGTAGTTGATGGTCTTGAAGCTCTGGGACACAAAGTAGCAAAATTCTACAACACAGTTAACGCTGTGGAAAAAGCGGGCAACTGTATCTCTGCATGGTCTGATGAAAGGAAAAATGGCAAAGCAGCTGGTTACTGAGACCAAGAATCAGTGATGTTAGTTATAGAGTATGGTCTTAAGGTTATGATAGCAGAGCTGTTTGTTTTAATTTTTTCTAAATCTCTCAGTCAAAACATGGTGTATTATGTGGAAGCTAGTGAGCTAACTTCCTGCTAACTTCTAACTCTGTTAAATTCCATAAATTCTGTTTTCATGGATGCCTGGATGTTAAATTTAAATGTTACACCTGGTAGAGCAGAACGCTGGTCATTTTATTAAAGATGAAAGAATTTAGACAGTTTGTAACTCTCAATGATGCCACAGTGTTCGTTTGACTTTGGGACCCAGAAACTGTTAATGACGTCAAACTTAAAGACCTGATAACTATTTCAAACTATTTACAGAACACCAATAGGAAAGGATGGTTTTGTTTTATACATTTTTGCTCACAAGTGGAGAGTGCTTTTGAGCGTTTTCTAAGTTTTTACTGATTCTTCTCGCAGTAAACATAAACAACAATAGTATTCAGGAAAAAACATTAAATATATATATTTTTTATCATGACTCTAGTTTTACGTGGCCTATCAACACACTTTTAACACAAAAGTGAAGACTCAGGGTTGTCTTGGGTTGTTGCTATAGCATCTTAAATTGGTCATGTGATTGGTTTATTCTGGCTATTTTTCCTCAGCAAATCAGCAGCACTTGTGCGATTGTTTCACCCTGAGGACCGCTTTGACTGTCTGAGTGTTGAAAAATAGTAATGCGTCCGCACCGCATTTTCTTGTTAGTAAGGGTAACTGCGTTGTAAAGACTGAATAGTAATTAGATTACTAGTTACTGATAAAAGTACCTTTAACGCCACTGCTCATGTGTCTAAAAAAAGTTTGTAATATTGAAAACATAATGTGATGATCAGATTATTTAAATCCCAAATTTAATGCAAAATAGTGCAAAGACAGCATTGTAAACGAGAATGTTTTTGAAAAATGTTATGGATTTATATATCTGCCTCAATTTTATACGATCAATATGACCTTTTAAATATTTGTTCATCATAGAATATAAAAAAAACAAGGACACAGCTTTCAGGTTGAAATGTGAAGCCTATAACGATGTTTCTTCAACCTGCATCCGGCCAGCAGGAAGAGACTGACTGCAGAAATCTTTGGTTATATAAAAGATTGTTGGAAAATGAGCTACAGACTTCATATTTTCAAGTCTCATCAAATTTATGTTTACTTTGTAAATTTTAGCCCACTGAATTGTCCAGAAGTGACAGAAAGTAAGGTCCACTTTA